TTTCCTCGTTAGTTCCGAAGTGTGCATTTTCTGCATTCATAAAATGTGAAAATGTAAAATAAAGTAAAATGTTTAAATAGTCAAAGCAACGGAAGAATTTCTGAACGCTGTCATCAAAGTGAACTTGTTACATTCATCTGAAGTAGAAGTGAATTTTTTGGTGCCATTGATGTAAAAGATTTTCATTTTGCATAAAGATTCGTAGGATAGTCATCGCTATCACTATCACACCGACTAAATTGTCTTCTCGGTCGCTTTGAATTGCAAATTCCAAGAGATGTTGACGGCAAACTCATCTTGGAAGTAATAGGTATAGAAAACACGATTTTTCGCAAGAGTGAACCGTGCATATACGCACTCGGAAAGAGTTGAAGGAATTGAAGACATGACTATAAATACATAGATCCTAAATAACGGAATGAAAACAGACACCAGTATTAGGATAACAATGAAAAATTAACGGCAGCGAATAGTATTAAAAATGACAGAGTGGTTGTGAACGTGTTGTTTCTACGATGAAAAATAATGTTTGACGTCCAAGTTAATTTCCTAAATGCTCCTGTGTTATTTAATCATCTTAATAGGTGCTCTTGTGTTAGCGTGTGCACTCGGTGAACACAAGCAACGTTTCTATTTTTATATTTCATATTTTCTGTGTTTATTTGTTAATTTTAATAAATCATCTCGTAGTTTACAAAATGCTATTTTGAAAAAGATATGGAAAATTTGGATGCCATACAGGTGATCCTAACGATTAATTAGAATTTCTTCTAAAATTAATGTATTTGTAGACACAGGATCAATAATTCAATATTGACTGCTTGTTAAACGATAAACATTTCGTTGTTCAAAAATCCAGTCTTTGTTTCAATTCCGAATCTTCAATCCACTTTAGCAACTCCTAATGAGACTTGATAAAAATTGTATTTACGTTTGCAGGAAGCCATTTAAAGAAACGGGTTGCTCTCCCATTACGTTAATTACGAGCACTCCGTTCTAATTTAAACAATTATATTGTTTATGTGATTAGAAGTAATTCAGCGAACAGTAGCTTTCAGACCACTCATATTTCAATTTCGACGTAAAGATGTTTATAAAATTTGTAACGTACAATATTATTCGATGAAATCTTCAGTCTAACAATCATTATGCTATTTCTACAGATTATTTTAGAACAATTAGAATGATGAAACATCTATATCATCAATGAAATATTTCTCAGTTGGCAAGGCTTAGTTATTTGTTGTTCGCATCAATTGCAAGAAATGCAAGCTAATTAGAAAGTCCTTTCTTTCTTTGATAATTTTAGTAGATTAAAAATACTACATTGTCGTTCTTAACACTAGATTTACAGAGTAGTGAAAGCAGTTACTTTATGTTGCTTCGTAAAAATAACAAGCATATATTTATTCAGATTTTCAGCGATTTCTCCAATGAAACAAAATCATAGAGTGAATTCCTCATAAATGTGTCTTTATAATTTCAAATTGCGACTACTCGCTCAATTTTGCCATAAATGCACAAAAATTCGTAGCCTAAGGACAACGTATTGCTACACTCACCGAAGAAGGTGTTGAAAATGTAGAGTAGTTTCTTCTTGCGGAACTCTGACAGTGGCATTTTGTCAATCTGCAACATAGAGAAACCAGAGGGTTGAAAAGTGTACAGGGGTTCTTATACGTGTGTAACATGCTAATACTCATTTTCCATTGAATGGCGATCAGGGTCGATTGTCTCGAGCGACCGACCCTTATTTTATCTCGCCGGTAAAAAGTAATCGCAGCTTGGCTTTATCGAGCTGCTTTGTACCTAGCCTCGATATTTACAAGGCCGCCGTGAAGACACAACGTTCGTTTAATTCAATTACATCCACAAGTGTTCGTTACTGAACGTGTTCATTACCTCTTTTCGAAATCGTTCAAAATATTATAAATATACTTCAATAAAACGATTTATATTCCAAAACTTTCACCTTCATCTCAAAAAACATCATGCCATATCTGTCACGAAATTTGTATCGATTTTCAAGATAGTTCACAGAGATTTGTAACATTTAATAATCTATTAAGTAATTTTGTTTTATTTAACTATCTAATATTATTTATTTTCTCTCTCATCAATTTCAATATCTGAACGTTGAAATACGTGCTGTAATAATGTGATTATTCTCTGTGTTATTATAAATTCGCGTGTCATACTTCAAATGAATTGTCAGTAGCTCCGAATTACACAGTACATTGTTGGGATAAAATAATAAACGTACAAATGTAATACAAGTGTAAACCATTGATCAACCACATGACATACGAGGAGAGACAAAATCAATAAACACAAAAACAAGAGTTTCGTGTGCTCTCTCTATATTCATAAATGACACTTTGATACACTGATGCAACCATTTCCAACATATACTAATTTGCTTCGAACGAATTTTCAATACTTTGGTAATCAACGTACGTTTTATTTAAAATAAGCTTCGTTTGGTTACAATCGAATTGTTAATTGTCTTTTAGACAAACGTGGACAATCGTATGATATTATTCATATGAACGTTGAAAACATAAAAATTCTAATCATATCATCTTGAAAAGCAAACTCCTTAACCCTCTGCAGTACGATTTCTTTCGCAGCACTCCATTATCACTAATTTTCATGGCGAAAAGAAAAATTTCTATTCATCGCATGCCAGTCTTCGCTTTAATGTTTCAATATTAACGATAGAAAACTAGAATTTTATTTCGATTTTACACTAATTACTTTTTATAATGTAATCCATTGTATTTCCCTAATTTTATTAGGATTCTTATTAGGACTTTATTAAAAGTAATTAATACCATAAGACTTAATTTTTCAAATTCGATTTAATCGAGAATACAATATTTTCATTTGATGAGATCTTTCAGACTGTTAGCTTAGGCAGTCAAGGCGTTAAAGGAGATGCATATGGGAGATCTAATTTTTAGTTATTCTCTTACGTTTTCGTTTTTCAATGAAGAAGCGCCGAAACGTTAATTGGTATCCTTCCTGTTGCTTCAATTCGGCAAGACTGAGACACACGAGAGATGCGACAAGCATTTATATAATAAGATTTTCTTACGCGAGATAACAGCTACCTATATTTGAATATTTACTGACGCACATTTCGCTGTAGAGCAAGCATAGTTACGGGTACATGTGACTTAAGAGATTCAACGTCGGATGAGGATCGTTGCACGGTGCATGACGTCGCTTCGATTAAATGACTCATGGGAAATCAAAAAATTCGTTTAAACCGGATACTCTTCGACGTGTCTTTACGGTACTTGCAACGACGTTTCATTGTTCATTGTAACGTGAAATCTGCATAACCGATTCTCGGTAGAACTGCGAGAATTATAGCGATGAATATTCTACAGAATTATGTATTAAATCCTGTTTAGCAATCACGCAAATCGATTTTTTCTTATTTTTGTTGTGACTCAAGTAATTTCAATGAAGCATACACAGATCATAATGTGTTTTATTTTCTGCATACAAGAACTTTTTTTAAACAAATATGTTTTTGTAATTAATCTGTAATACAATGTGTAAGACATCATTCAATTGAGACCAGTTTTCACTAGCTTTTTCACGTTCTTATTAGTGCATTCTGTTGACTGGAAAAGCTTATAGAACGAATTACTATTCGGGAACAATAATTATATTTCTTCTAAATAATTGAGTAGTCAAAAGTCGAACAGTGTACATTTATATAAATCTTCAAATGCTCGCATTACATCACCGTAATTACAAAGAAAGTAATTCAATCAAGTAAATGTGTTATATTTAGCTTTAATTAAATGAATTACAATATAAATATCGTAATCGCTAAAGAATTTATTCAAACGCAAATTTGAATGAAACATTTCTAGTACTTTTTCGATGTCGAACACCTTTTCGTTATTATGCTGTCAAATTTATTACAAGAAATATACAATGCCAGCATGTTGCTTAAAATAAGTTTAATGTATATTGTTCCATCAATCATATTAATTATGAGAACTTGACACATGCACATTTGAAAGCGATACTTTAATATGTAATAGTTACCTCGCTGATCTTGCATGGCCTTTGAATTAGAAAAAAAACACTCGTCGATCTTTTTCAGGAAATTTTTTCCATTGTAATGATAATTCCTGCACGTAGTCCAATGCTTTTTCGATACCATTGGCTTTGTATGAAACGAAATTATCTACCAGGGCAATGAAACCTGCTGGACGCCTCTGATGTGCAATTTCGAATGGCATTATTTCCGCGGAAATCGAATTTCCTTTGTGCAATTTAACAAGCCGGGTATAATGAAAATGAAATCAGTAATTTATGTCTTCTCTGCATACATTATTAAATGTTTTAATGAACATCGATTCTTGCTACCGAGGTCCTATCATTGGAAACCGAAATGCTTTCGTATTGTCGGAAATAAAAGGAATTTAGCAAGGACTTTTCAATCACTGGGCACGCATCAATTCGTTCTGGTTCAATTATCAACGTGCATTGAATGAATTGAAATTGACCCTGTCAATTAGAGAATTGGGACCAATTTCATGAACTACAATAATTCTGCAGAAACTATTGGCAGGAATATCTGATTTCTCATTAATGAAAACTTAATACCTTCGTGATTTTTATAATAACCATCGTAATTACGCCTTTCTGGTAAAATCTCATTAATTATTGATAAAGTTTCATAACAATCCTAACGAATTCGTTATTAAAGAAAATCTGATGTTACTGTAATAATAAATCGTCGTCAAGTTTTGCGCCATAGTTTTAATAAATTACATAATTATTATCTGTAAACTGTAATAACAATTGAACTGCGAATTTTATGCATTCATAACAAAAACGAATAGGCTTGAAATACAACAATCTGTAGTTCGAACAATTTGAGAATACTGTCGCATTATTGACAACTTATTAAAGGATATTATTAACAACTTATTAAGGATAGAATGCATTTTCATTTAGCTACTGTTTCTTACAATTCATTTAAAACTTTCGTATCAATACGCGCGGTCTAATCATGACTAAATACATATTTACACACACGAACAATTCAATAAGAAGTTAGATCATTCGTGAGCATCGTTAAATTTTCATAAACTCAATGACCTTTATAAATCGATATTCGGAGGCTTCGCTCTTATCGAAATTATTCCTGCACTTCCATCCTCTCCGTAAATCTAGCATCGGTCGTGCGGGACGTTCGCGTTACCGTACCCGATTAATTAATTAATCCCATTTGCGTTTACCGTGCGACTATTTTCATTGTACGCTATATTTTACTGTATATTTCACTGTACTATATTTTTACTATTCCGTCGGCGTCAACGAGAATCGTGACCCGCCACGAGCGCGACGCGCTAATCCCTTCTCGATCTACGATAAAATAAGAAGTAATAACACGTAATCAGCTGTGATAATGATCGTTCGGGAGGGAGGGAGGGGGGGAAAGTACTTTCGAAAAATCCACCGTCGACGACGCCGAGAGCCGTTCAGGGTACCATTACACGTCAAGGTGAATGTTGACGTCAATCATTCGGATCGGTTCAACGGAACTAATCTTCCGTTACGTTCCAATCTTTTGTTCGTCGATTTCGACAGTGACGAATCGAGGCGTGCGCGAGACCGCAGTTTTAAACGTCGCACACTGGGTCAAACCATCGAATCATCCATAATGTTCATCGTTACTTATTAGATAACACATTGGTAATTAGGCACGTAGATCGACGTTTTTTATTTTTCGAATATTTAACAATTTAACATGTCCCGCGCAACGTGTACCGTCGATATTGCACGTTCAATTTCCCGTCCACGTCGCGCGGCGTACGCTTATGGTTGCCATTTATATAAAATCGCGAACCCAGAACAAAAGGCATAAAAATCCCGAACTTTTCCGGCCGAACAACAAACGTTCTATGTGGAATCTTTTCGCTGAGATTAGGCTGCGAGGTCCATTATGTGTCGCCGCGTGTCGCCTTCCGTCGATGAATCGACCGATCGAGGCATGAAATCAATACGATCCCATTTCCCGTCATCCCGCGACGCCCCGCGGTCCATTGTCGTGTAATTCGATAATAAGTAAAGTCAATTCCGCAGTCTGCCGGACCCGGGACACCCGTTCTTGGAGTGTCAATCGCTCGTCCGAGCAGTTTGCCTCGAACTCCGCGGCGCATTGTTGGACACACAAGCGTCACATTTAGCGAAGTTGCAACGAGTTCGTTCTACATGGCTAGTTGGGCTTCCTCGTGAACTATCGTGACCTTCGTTCTCAGATTTGAAGGGGGAGAGTTCTGGATAGGATATTGAAAGCTATAGAGTTTCGTGTTTTGAGAAAATACGAGACAGTTGTCTGTTCGACATTTTTAGGACAATTTGTTTCACGTTCAAGAAGTACGGATTAATTTTTTCGATAAAGAAGATTTGGTGGAAGCTAATGTGCAAAAATGTGAACACATCGCATAAAACGCGTTAAAATTTTTTTAAAATTTCGGACTGACTAGCTTACCAGACAGTGAGTAAAAACATATTTGTGAAAATTATAATTGATTGGATAGAATTTGCAGCTTTTTTATTTGAGCTTGTAATCTCTTTGTAGCTGTGATTAATTT